TCCTTTGGTGGCGAAATTCTGCGATGAAGGAGTGGGTGATGCTTGTAGGTAGCTTTACATTTACAAATGGTGGTTGATATACACTGGGCCTTCATGTGTCCCGACGCTAGGCATAAATGGCAAAGTTTTAAATTCTTTACGATTTCCCATCGCTCTTCAGGTGTTTTCTTAACAAAGGAGTCACAGTTTGTGAGTGAGTGTTTACCCTTGCAACACGGACAAAGGCCGGAGTTTTCGAGGTTTGTTGTCAACGTCGAAATCTGATTCTGAAGTGGTGGTTTAGGTGATGGTTTCGGTAGCCTGTTCTTGGGGTCAATTGGTTTCCTCTTTGTAGTCAAAATGTGTCCATATTGGGGATCGTTCATGATTCTGAGTTGTTTTTCTACTAGCTCTAGAACATGCTGTAATGTGGGGTTCAATTTGGTTTCATCACGAATTTTCGGAAGTTTCTTTACCCACTCTATCTGCATGTGCATTGGCAAACGATCAACAACTCTTTCAACGTTAGATGATGCATTAATTTCGTGTTTGTAATTCTCATTGTCCTTTAAGACTTCTAAACAGGAACGTAAATTATTTCTGAGCTTAGCGAGAGAGTTGTTGTCTCCCCTTTCAATGCGACGACCCACCGTGACTCGTTTTAGGGATGCTTTGACTACGCTAGAAGGATGACCATACTGAGACTCTAATATTTTCATGGCTTGACTAAAACCGTTTGATTTCAGTTCACAATGTTCAATTGCGTCTCTAGCATCACCTTCCACGAAACTGAGAAGACGAGTTATTTTTTCTCTTTCATCAAACTCTCTTTCGTTTAACCAAACCTCCACCCGCTTCTTAAAAACAGGAAACTGAGCAGGGTCACCTCTAAATTTCATTGGCTGGGGTTTCGGAATCCCTTGCCGCTGTAACATGGCTTTCATAACGGTGGTTGTTTCGGTTCCCTGCTTCATGGCACTAACCAATTGCAGATTCATTTCGAGTAATGTAGTTGTTAAATCAGGTTTAGTTTTGTCAACGCTTGGTTTAAACTCGGGTGAAGATGGCTCCGTGTCATTGCATTTCTCAGAAAGGGACGCAATCCCTTGCTTGCTATCGACCACTGATTCGGGTGGCGATTTGACTAACTCAGGCCGAGTTGAGGGGTGATCTGTCTTGTAGAAAGCTCTGTCCTGTGGTGTCGAATTTTTTACTTCTACCTTCATATTAACCCTGTTACCAGCTACAGCCTTTGATAAACTACGCATGCTTCCGCAGTCACTATATCTTTCGTCTGCCTGATCGGCTGCCAAAAGTTCGGCTTCTAACTGAGAGTACTCCGCTTGGTCCCGCAAATCTTGTAACTCACATTCTATCTGTTCTTGCATTTGTTTTTCCTTTGCTTTTGCTCTTCTCTCAGCCTGCTCTAGTTTCAACCTTGCTAATTCTGCTGAACGAGCCGCTGTCTTCACCCTAGACGACACAGAGGACCCCCTGAACGTCTACTCTTTGACGACCTTGACATGGAAACACTACTTTGTACTGACACAGAAAGTTTATCATCATCCTTAAGGTGAAGACCATTCTCAAACTTTGAGTCTCTCTGTAAACTGCGAATGCTCTTGTTAAGTTGACCAATAGCTAGTTGATTACATTCATTTATTTTTCGTTCGAGACTTTGACGTTGGATGCTAAGACGCTCCAAGTCACGCGTGTTATTAATCAGCTGAGAATAATCTTCATGTACTTTGAGGTACTTAACCCACTTTGAATGTATAGTGTCCAAAGTTTTTTCAATTTCTGTAGTCTCAATATTACTATAATCATAAGTTTTTAAAGACTCTGTAGATACTTCAATAATTTGCGAAAGTTTTAATAATTCATGCTTTAGTCCTTTGGAATGTATTTCATTTAAATATTCTGCGTACTCACGCGGCACCTTCCGGGTCCGAGATGTCCTTCGTAAACCGTCGTCACTTCCGGCTTGTTGACTTCGTCGATCGCGAAGTTCGTCGAACTGTTTTGCACCGATTTCATCCATAAAAGATCAAACTATGTTGGGAACGAACCCAACCGAATGTCGTTTATATATCAAATAATAATCACCACGTCATTACACTTTATTTACTCTCAAATTTAGTTTATTCTAAGCAGTACATCATGACAAATATCTTGTACATATCAAATATCCATGTATCATTCTGTCCTCGATTCTGTCCGTATTTCGACTAATATCGGTCGTAAACAAAGGTTTGCTACATAGAATTACAAATAACGTTCATTAACAACAAGTTCAAGTGTTTCAAAGTCAAAATGAAAGAAATACTTACATCTTATGGCGATTTTAAAGCAGATTACGTTTGTATATCTATCACGAATATCAATAGTTTTCCAAAAAGCCTCGCTCGCGAAGACTCGCCCTAAATTAATTATGCTAATGTCAACAAACGGCGCGAAATAATTAGATTAATTATAGTAGCGTCCGTAACAGCCAGTTTATAATAGTTTATATCTGTAAACAATCATGAGTATTTCTTCTGTGTTGGTGTTGTGTACTCAGGTGAATATGATATTTGTGATGTTACTCTTGAGTGTATATCCACACCGGGCGAGCTCGAAAAATATGCCCGGCCACGCTGGGAATCGAACCTACGACCTTTGGAATACTAGCCCAATGCTCTGCCAACTGAGCTACGCGGTCAGGACGGTTCGAGTAAGTGATATTTCGGAACAGAATCTAGTTCCTTCGATACCAATGCAATCTAGTAATATGATTTTTTCTGTGTTGGTGTTGTGTACTCAGGTGAATATGATATTTGTGATGTTACTCTTGAGTGTATATCCACACCGGGCGAGCTCGAAAAATACGCCCGGCCATGGCGGGAATCGAACCTACGACCTTTCGAATACTAGCCCAATGCTCTGCCAACTGAGCTACGCGGTCAGGACGTTTCGAGTAAGTGATATTTCGGAACAGAACAGAATCTAGTTCCTTCGCCTGGTGTGGATATACACTCAAGAGTAACATCACAAGTATCATATTCACCTGAGTGCACAACACCAACACAGAAAAAAAAATCATATTACTAGATTACATTGGTATCGAAGGAACTAGATTCTGTTCCGAAATATCACTTACTCGAACCGACCTGACCACGTAGCTCAGTTCGCAGAGCATTGGGCTAGTATTCCAAAGGTCGTAGGTTCGATTCCCACCGTGGCCGGGCATATTTTTCGAGCTCGCCCGGTGTGGATATACACTCAAGAGTAACATCACAAATAATCATGAGTATTCTCTAGTTATAATAATCACTCCGCGTATTGTCAGTTATAAAATGTTGTATTTCGGCTGATGAGAAAGATCGTGACTCAATCTTTACGACCATATGAAAACCAGGTACAAGCGGTCTCAGGCAAATAGAAAAGCGGATATAAAGAAGAAGAAAGCTATAGCACAGGCACGGCAAATGTCATCATTTATTTTATCACTGGCACAAAGAAACGAGTCAGTCGTAACGAGGTGTTCGTATTATCAACTTTAGTAAACGTTTTAATAATCTAAATAAAGGTTGATGTTTTTGTCTTGCCTTGCCTGTAAGACTAGTGCAATTACATACAGACAAAGCTGGGACTGGATGTTCAAAGCTGGATTAGCGCTAACCCTGTGTTCAAATTTCACATGCTGTTTAGGTTAGTGTATTTATGCATGTTTGTTTGTTTCAAAACTTTAGATTTTGTTTGTTTATGAACAAGCTGTGGGAAAGATCGCTTTGACGGTTTTCGTTAACCAGCTTTATCAACCGGCCCCTGGGGATGATCAACAATGCAAATGACTTGTGGCAAAATGTTCTGACCAACAGAAACTATGTTTTGACCAACAGAAACGCTATTTTTATGAATCTTTCGCCTCTATGCATCAACGTTTGACGAAAGAAAGTGATATTTTATTGTGTATGGTATTTTATAGACAGATGATGCTAAGAGTGAGACGTGCAGTGTCAATAGCTCAGTGACGAGTGACGTCTTTGCAGAACAGACTAAAAAAGATGATGTTAAAAATGTCAGTAAAGATGAAGGATCTTCCAAAATTGTTCAAAATGGTTGTAATGAAATACCCGGGGACGCTACATGTATATTGCTCAATAATAATTCGGGTGAGTGTTTTTAGTTTTGGTTCAACTAAGAACTAAGCTGCATGAATTGCGAAGGACGCGGATCAACCTGATTGAGTCGAAGACTTACTAAGGCCGCCTCTGGCTGCCAGCTCATGACTCATGTCTGATCACAGAGCACAGCTACGGTTGAAGGGTCAGTTAGGAGCTTATCTCAAGCAACCAGTGGTGCTTAAATTACTTTGAATTTGTACTCGAGTAAAAGTAGAAGTAACTAACAATAAAAGAGTAAAAAGTACTGGAAGCAAAACGTATTTAAGTAAAAAGTACAAAGTATCCTTAAAAAATACTTGAAGTACAAAGTAAAAGTAAAAGTACCATTGTCGTAGCGTGTAGAGGGGGAGGGGAACTTCTCCAATGGATTAACATACCAAAGACACAAACAACACACGCATTATATGCGTGCACCGAATATACAATATTTCACGGCATGGTCTACTTTCCAGACCCTGTTGAAGATATAAGAAATCCATTAAATAAATAATTCTTATAAGTAAGTCATAAACGAGAGGTCCCAGACGCATGTAGAGGTCGTATTACCTTTCCCGAAATTAAAATAAACCAGAAATAAATCGCGTAAAATTAAACAAAAGTTAGAAAGTAACGAAATACTTCGCCGCACAATGAAAATAACGAAGTAAAACGTTACTTTTTAAAATTACTTCGTTCCAAGTAAAAGAACTCCAGAAAACTGTTACTTTGTTACATGCTCACTTCTCAAAAATAGTACTCAAGTACAGTAACGAAGTACATTTACTTCGTTACTTGACACCACTGATCTCAACTTAGGAGTTATTCCCAACCCACCCTGTCAACATTCCCTGTGGTGAAAAACCGGAGTGCCAGGCGAAAAGCCGCGACTTACGGTTCAGCGTTGACTCTTCACATAAGTGTCATGTGTCTGCAGCGAGAATCCAACCCAACTATTTCCATGTAGAAGCTCGTCGAGCTCTGGAAGTCAAGTCAGATCCTGTAAAGAAAGAGCAGGCAGAAAATCACCACACGCCACTGAAGAGAGAAGGCAAAACAAGATCGTCGTTTGGTAAAGGATTTCTAAAGTTAAAGAGAACTCGTAGTGTGAGTGAACCAAACTTATGTAAGTAAAACTCACTACATATCATTTATTATTAAACTTTTAGCGTGTTTCGTTTTGTTAGTGTAGGAGACAGGGATTGACCAAATCTTCAACAAAATTTAGAAAACCAAGGAGATTGGTCCAAATGCTGGGGAAAATAAGTCTATACTTCGGGCAAATTTATCACTATAAAATGTGTTAAATTTTATATGATCATGAAAACGATAATATCGAAACGTTTCAAGTTCTGAGGGAGCTAGGGTCTCAGAGCATCGCACCGCTGTTGTTAGTATCACTTAGTCAAGCCCACATACCACTGGATTGAAATGACATCATTTGTTGACATTACCGACCTTGAAAAAATTATCGCATCTAGGAAGGTCGCGTAGTTTCTTTCTCACTGTCATCCAGTAGTTTTCTGTAAATTCACTCGTATACATGCATTTCACGAATGAAAATACACTGCATGGAAATGGTTGATTTACTAACGACATGTGCATTGCCTTGCAGCTCCAGGTGAACAAGCTTCACCTGAAAAATCTCAAAATAAGGTATGGTACCACATTGTTTTGTTTTTTCTGGTATAAAGGAATGATGTAATGTTTCTGATATATATAATCATTAGTAATCACTCAATAATGGTTTTTGCTAAATTTCCCCACCGAAAATAAACAATAAATAAAATCACAGTCGTCGGGCTGGCTACGCTACTGTTATTAGATAACAACCCCTTGCCTCAAAATCGCTTTAACAACATTGCACGGGGGAGGAGGGGCACGAACCACTAGCTTGTTACAGGATGAAGGGGGCCAATAAACTGCTTGTCTCAATAATTTTTGCACGCAATTGTAGATACTTACCTACATCAGCTCAACGCGATCATTAAACAAACGTATTTTTAACCCGATGGTTATCATCTTTTTTGTTCCAAGAGCAATGATGGTATAGTTTTCGTGATGATATAGATGTTTTCAAAGCACGCAATATTTTTATACTCTTTTGGGCAGTGAGTAAATTAGCCCTCCAGTCAATATGCTTGTAAGGTAAACGTAAACGTTTCAACGTAGATGTTTTACTTGCTTCTTTTAAAAATAATAAAAGTTCTATTTTTCAGAGTGCTGATGACCATCACGAGAAAGGGAAAAAGAAAAATATAGTGGGCAAAGTTTTTGGGAAGTAAGTGTTTTTCTCTCTCGATAAGTGCCGTTTGGTTTGTATAAATGCTGTTTAACAGTTTTGGCGTTATTATTTAATTTTAAACAAGCTTTAAAGGCGAGGTCCCGATTGCTAAGGTCATTAATATGATAGATTTATTGACCCTTTTATTATGGTCGTAGCAACATTAATCTGTGGATCATGGATATTTGGAAGAGTGGGTACAGAACCATTGCTCTCAAAGTATTCTCACAACTGTTACATAATGATATTGTCATATTGTCCTTGTGAATATGTTGTTATCTTCGTAATATCGGTTCAAACAAGTTTCCAATATTCTCACAAACCTGTTTTTGTAGATTGCGTCGTTCAAATTCGCAAGGATTAGAATCTGACATGAAAGGTGATAACACAGGAAAAAGAAAGTAAGTTATAGAAATGACTTCAGTATATTTGATTTGTATTTATTATATTATTTTTGCGCGTTGGAAGACAGTGTCGGGCACTGGGAAGAGGGAGCGTCTTTGAAGAATAGCTGAACAAATGTGTAACAAAGCTGTAACAAAATTTGTTCCACAATAAAAGCATTGGTACAGTAGGGTAGAAATGAAGTGTTTTTGGTGTGGTTTTTTTTGGGGTTTTTGGTCAACTGTGTGTGCCAGTGTATGTAGGTAGTGCCAATAATATAAACAAGCTTTCGTTAGTAGCGACCTGAACAAAATAAGGATAATTTTGATGCTTTGAGCGAAGGCTTTTCGTCTGGAGTTACTATAGCGAGTAACTGCAGACGAAGGGCCTTCGCTCGAAACGTCGAAATTCTCCTTTTTCACGTAGTTTCATCCCTACCAACGAAAGCTTGTTTCTATAAATGAAGTTATATATTGCATGAATTTAAGGCAACAAACATAATGTGGACAACCTAATTCTCCTCCCCCTCCCCCCAATATTTGGCGATGTGCCCGCACACTAAAAATAAACTTAACATTGTGTCTAGGCTTCATTCAGATGTTCCCTTCTCCTCGTGGAGTACAGATATGGTTGTGAGCTGGTTAGAAGATGAAGGTTTAGGACAATATACTGATGTTTGTTCAAACCATGTAACGTCTGGTGATGATCTGGTGAAAATTACGTCAGCAGATCTTGAGAAAGTCCTGGGAATGAAAAAAATGTTGCATCGAAAGAAACTTCATCTAGCACTGCAGGTATGAAGCGCCAGCCTTCTCTCAAACAAGACAAACTGCGGAAAAGTCTGGCCTCAATAATAATTCTTTGCCCTATATACTACAGTAACAGAGACTCTGTAACAGAGACTTTACTACTGTATCTACAACGCAGCCAACTAGGCGACGCGTGTAAATGTTTAAATTGCATGAGCTTGTTCTAATTGGTTACCTTTCAAATAGTTAAGTTTGGCTGAAACGATGCAGTTGGTTACGATAAGGTCAACTTCAAGAATCATTTACGTCGCAAAATGACGAAAAGCTCTGAGTGTCTCCACACCAAGCAATCTGAAAAGTTGCTTGACCGTGGAGGGGATTGAACCCGCGACCTTTAGCGGGCCAGTACTTGCACGCCTGAGTTCAACACTACAACAAAAAAGATAACAATTTAACTTTGTGTTAAGAGTGCAAACGATGTTGAGGATAGTTTGGGGACGACAAATTATCTGAAGAATGCATGAAGTGTTTCCGTGCTTTAAAGGCGCGTCGCCAAGCTGTGGCATTGTAGATCTTACACTCTTGCAACAGTTTCTCTATTAAGACTAGTCGAGGGATCAATTACTTTATGAAGTTAATCTGTTTGTATGATACAATATCTAGGCGTTGATTGAAGTGAATTTGTACATTTTAGGCAGTCACTGAGGAACAAGAAGATGTGATGGAACAATTGGATAACAACTGGGTCTTGGGTTTGTATTTCTTGTTTTCTATATATCGCATCACTACTAGCCCACTCGGGGAACGTTATATATGGCGATCTTTCTCACTGCACCATTTTCGGTTTTTTTGTCTCTGGGACTGAACCGCGGTAACAAGTATAGTATGATTTGCGTCAGTATGATGGCGTGCAACGTCGGATTGTCTATAAGCGTTGCTGGTATGATATTCTTCTCTATCAAAAGTTTCAACATGCACGTCGCCCTAAAATTGGTATAACTGATTTTCGCTGCATTTTGCCTCATAGCGCTCGTTAAACAAGCAAAAATCTTATGTTTTGTCATATATATATATATATATATATATATATATATATATATATATATATATATATATATATATATATATATATATATATATATATATATATGCCACAAATTGATACAAATACAGTTGTTAATTTCCCTTGGCAACCTGACGTCCGTGTTGACAAAAATGTCGCTGCTTAAGTTCCCTATTATCAGAGCTTAGTCGAATCGGTTATGAGAGGACAGTATAATGTTACGTTTCCGATAATTAATTTTAACCAGTAGGCAGTACTGTTTGCATTATTCTAGTAATTAAACTTCTCAAATTCATTAATAATTCATGAGTAATTCAGCCAATGATAATCACCTATTTGATCACAAGTATCCAAATGGATACTTGATGAAAGTCACTAGTGTTTTCATCAAATATCTTAATTACGCATGCAAAATTACTTGAATAGAATTCCTAATTACGTGATGCTTGGTTAAGAATTCTATTCAAATCAGCAAACGAAAACATTCTGTTACGTCTCGATTCATTTGAGAAGCCATATAAACAACTCGAGCTAGCTCGTGTCTCACCGGGATATCCAAACACTCGAAAACAATGTATGAAAACACTCGCGCTTAGCGCTCGTGTTCTCATACATTGTTTTCTTGTGTTTGGATATCCCGGTGAAACACTCGCTCTCGTTGTTCATCTCCTTCTGCTTGCTTTGTGTTCTTTGCTTAACAATCATTATAAAACGTTTATTAAATATAATGACATTCCCATGCTGACCCTACGTTATCTGTTTATAGACTGGCTTGAGGATATTGGTCTTCTCCAGTATAAAGATTCATTTCGTGATAATCTTGTTGATGGTAGAATGTTGAATTATTTAACAGTGGTATGTCGAGCTTTAAAGGATTCGTGTCAGCACAGTATAGGAAAAGTACAGTAGGGCCACTCAGCGTAAAAAAGTGTCTACATTGTTTACTGGCTGCCAACCTAATTTACATATTGGCAGCCAGTAAACGGCAGCAGTCCACTGTAAAATTGTACTACAGAATAATGATTTTGGCCGCGTAAAACACCTGGAACCTAGCTTAAATAATTGCCACTTTTCTCTCCCCTAAGTGGCCCTACTGGTTGTCTCCCTATACTGTGGTGTCAGGGTCATTAGTGTAAGACAAATTTTGAGCTTAATCATATAGCGGGCAAAATTACTCAAATATGATTGGCTAATGAGGAGGGCATTTTTTTCAGGGCAAAATTACTTGTACCTGATTGGCTGAGACGCAAGCGCGGGAAGTTTCTTGTTTTAAATAGCAATAAAAACAATGGCTTCTCGCTTTGTCGTCGCGGTAATGATGTTATTGAAGAATTAAAAACTTCTAGTGAAAACTTGAACACTAGAAAAAGTACAAATTTATTGGTTGGAGTATTTAAGAAATTGACAGCCAGGGCAGCACTACGAAACATCGGGGAAAAGGCGAAGACATGGAGACATACGAGGTTCAAGAACTTGACAAGTTCACAATTAACTTACGAATAAATTTTGCCCTCTATGATTAACAAGTAATCGCATAGTTCCTCGTAAAATTAAGATTTAATTTCACTTGTGTTTTCAAAGTTTCACAAATTGCCTTCGTTGCTTCGCGACTCGGGCAATTTGTGAAACTTTGAAAATACGCGTGAAATTAAAGGGATACAGCAATATATATTTTTATTATTTCATTTGGAAGAACTTTTAAAATTATATGTTAATCTCTTTTACCGATTTTGCGTAACTTTATTATTTCTTGAGATATTTGAGCAGAAAAAATCACAAATCAGCGAGCTTTCCGCCATCTTGGATTTTAGCGGATATGCATGTGACATCATAAGCAGGGTCACGCAAGAATTTTATGCATAGAGCAATTGGATATCATGAGCCCAAATCATATACTTCAGTAACTATTTAAAATAAAAAACTGTCTGACGACTTTTCAAATAAGACTTAATGTTATTTGGTCATTTAGATGTAGTTTTATATGGCTAACCCTGCTTTTGACGTCACTAAAATCACCGAAAATGAGATAAAAATTCATCCAAGATGGCGGACAGAAAATTATTTTAAGTCAAAATATTTCAAGAAATAATAAAGTTACGCCGCAAAATCGGTAAAGGAGATTAACATATAATTTTAAAAGTTCTTTAAAATGAAATAATAAAAAAATATATTGCCGTATCCCTTTAAACCTTAATTTTACTCGGCCCCATGCGATTACCTATACTGTACTAATTACCCTAAGCACGCTGTTGCCATGGTAGCGGACTTTCAGCGCAAAAGTAGCAAATGGCAATGTTCAGGAGAGCATTGATGGCAATGTTCAGGAGAGCATTGCCAATGTGTCCAATAAATTTCATCTTCATGTCATGTAAAGTGAAGAAATAGTCCGTGTGTTCTGACCTCGAAAGTGCCTAGAAAACGATTTTCATTAAGCATGTCTCAGAACTGAAATACTTTTACGGGAACTAACACTTTCGAACACGCTGAGTTCAAATCCGAAAAGTTCCCACTCCGTAGACCCGCAGACCCGCAGTTTTTTCACAAAATGCTATTTTATCTTCACTAAGTTCACATGCAGCAAATTTCTTCATTGTTCAACGACACGGATCGATGACGAGACACGATTATGTCACTCAAAAGGTGTGTTTCTATTAACCATTCTTTCTTTTAACAAAAGACCGGTTTTGCTCGAATCATTTTGAGTTATGCAATCTTATGCGTGTTGGACGTAAACAACATATCTTGTCTACAACTTTGCGAAAGTACAGATAATTTCTTCTAATATCCTTTGTTCCGGATCTATCTCTATAAAATGACAAGGACGTTAAAGTCTTTGGGCTATATGTCTCTGGCATGAGAAATAATTGGTTACATGCCATCAAAATGTTTTAAATACAACGATGTAAAACGGTAATCTATATGTAATGGATCAGCATTTAAATTTCCGACACAGTTTCTGAGCTGAAATTCAAGAGATAACTTATCATTACATTTGAACTATTACATCAGTTGGTGTTATACTGTGCGATAAGCGAATATTATTGGAAAGAGGGCTTCTATATACGTCGAAATTCTATTTCTCCACTTCGTGCATGGTAAGTTTATACAGAGCATATTTTATACTTTGGGACTGATCTTTGTCTTTGATCTGAACATGTATTCTTATAGTTTAAGGTTACTTAAGATTGATTCTTTCTTAAGTCTTCTACCTGCAACCATTCGACAATATTTCATTTATTTATATTTATTTATTTATATATTTATATATTTAGCGTTGTCTTTGCCGTTACGTTGGCTTCGCTTACTTTTTTTTTAAATATCTTGATCGCGTTAAAAGAGTTATTTTTCAGGCCAGCGACACAGCTTACATAGCTACTTCACAACGAAGTTCGCAACATTCACGAAAAAGTTATATGAAATCAACTATAAAATTAGTAAAATTGCAAAGTTTGGCAGCGAAATGTTGTAAATTCTGGAAAATATAGCTCTGCGAAATTTGCAAATTTTGTATTAATTTGTATTATACGCGCGGGAAAATGCACCACATTTGGGCTAGGCCGAAAGTGGTGCACTTTCATGTGCGTAATACATAATTAATACAAAATTTGCAAATTACGTAGGGCTATATTTTCCTCATTTTACAACATTTCGCAACTCATCTCAGTTGCAATTTTACTAATTTTAACATGCTCTGCGGTCTATAGCTGTGGTGATGGATTTTGTTCTTCTTGCCTATGATGCCTAGATCAAAACTTAGTCTATAGCTGTGGTGATGGATTTTGTTCTTCTTGCCTATGATGCCTAGATCAAAACTTAGTCTATAGCTGTGGTGATGGATTTTGTTTCTTCTTGCCTATGATGCCTAGATCAAAACTTAGTCTATAGCTGTGGTGATGGATTTTGTTCTTCTTGCCTATGATGCCTAGATCAAAACTTAGTCTATAGCTGTGGTGATGGATTTTGTTCTTCTTGCCTATGATGCCTAGATCAAAACTTAGTCTATAGCTGTGGTGATGGATTTTGTTCTTCTTGCCTATGATGCCTAGATCAAAACTTAGTCTATAGCTGTGGTGATGGATTTTGTTCTTCTTGCCTATGATGCCTAGATCAAAACTTAGTCTATAGCTGTGGTGATGGATTTTGTTCTTCTTGCCTATGATGCCTAGATCAAAACTTAGTCTATAGCTGTGGTGATGGATTTTGTTCTTCTTGCCTATGATGCCTAGATCAAAACTTAGTCTATAGCTGTGGTGATGGATTTTGTTCTTCTTGCCTATGATGCCTAGATCAAAACTTAGTCTATAGCTGTGGTGATGGATTTTGTTCTTCTTGCCTATGATGCCTAG